TCGATCTACATGGATGACATTTGCACGGGCGCCTCCACCATTGAAGAGGCTCTTGTATTGCAAGAAGAATTGATTGCCGTCCTGAAGTCCGGAGGTTATGAGTTGCCGCAAGTGGTTGTCGAACTCCCCTCATATTTTGAAGGACCTCCCAGGAGAGGATCAACAAGACCCTCATCTAGAGACTGAAAATCTATTGTTGACTGTGCTGATTAATATCACCCTGTTCAGGATACTTTCACGTATCGAGTCAAACTCGATCCCCCTTCTAAATCATGGACCAAGCGCTCCGTGCTCTCTAAAATAGCCCGCACCTTCGATCCTAATGATGGATCACTCCGGTCATTTTTTTGGCTAAGTGCTTTCTTCAAAAGCTCTGGATATCCGGGTTGGGTTGGGACGACCCTATAAGCGGTGCTCTCTTGCGAGAGTGGCACTCTATTGTATACTCCCTTCCAGACATCAACCGGGTCCACATGCCAAGGTGCTTCCTCCCTCCAGGGAAATGCAGGGCTACCCTACATGGATTTTGCGACGCATCTGAGAAAGGCTATGCTGCTGTCGTATATTTGCGGACTATGAGCTCTTATGGCCATATCGTACTTGCTAAAAGCAAGGTTGCTCACATTAGGTCCCGTCTAACTATACCTAAATTGGAACTGTCCGGAGCCGCTCTTCTCACGCGACTCCTCAACCACGTTCACTCGTCTTTGAAGTCCGTAATCGACATTACGGACGTCTACGCTTGGTCGGATAGTGAGATAGTACTTTGTGGCTTCGAGCTGCACCTCACAATCTTGAGGTCTTTGTGGCGAACCGCGTGTCTCAAATCCAGAATTCTGGCACGTCTCTAAACGGGAGACATATCCCAGGGGAGTTGAATCCCGCAGACTGAGCTGCTCGCGGCTGTGAAGTGCCCTCTTTGATTGACCACCCGCTGTGGTTGTTGTCCCACTTGGTTGACTGAGTCTCAGTCATTCTGGTCCCAGAATAAATACTCCGAATCGATTCAATTGCCTGGCCTACGAACCCGAGTAGGAGTGGGCAAGGATAAGCCCACTCGGGATTTCTCCCACTAGAACGTTACAGCTCTCTCGATAAGCTCTTAGGAGTGACTGCTTGGTTGCGTTGATTTATATATATCTTATACTTTAATCTTATACTTTAATTAAAAATATACATACTCCTGAAGAGAGTATAATATCCACCACATTCCCTTTTAAAAATTAAACCTGTTTTTTTTTTTATATTTAGTACTCCAAATTAACCCTAAATTGCATGACTCATTCTGTGAATGTTATGTACACTTGTAATTGATATACATATCAGAGAGTATAGAAATGTGTATGTATTCGTGATTGTTATATATGTGTATTGTAAGTGTACTTGTTAAATAAAATAAAATAAAATAAAAATAAAATTTGTCTGCAATTCGAGAGACCCGTCCAACCGAATCTCTGATTCCGTTTTGTCCCCTAGCGAGCGTCGCGAAGCCTTGATGCATTGGACCCGTATGGTTCAAGCGGAGCATTTTGAGCCCGTGATTGAAACCTTGAAGCGGGGCTCCGTTGTCAAGAGTGCTCTGGCCCGCCTGGACGATGCTGAGATGCTGCGTGTTGGCGGACGTTTGAAAAATTCTCAACTGCCGTACGAAGCTCGACACCCGTTACTGCTCCCTAAGGACGGCGCCTTTGTTCGGTTGCTGGTAACTCACCATCATGTTCAGAATGCCCACGCTGGGTGTAACGCTCTTTCGGCTATTTTGCAGCGGGAGTTTTGGATTTTGGCTGGCCGACGCACCATTCGGAGCGTCATTTTTAAGTGCATAACTTGTTATAAATTGAAGGCCACCATATCGCAGCCGATGATGGGTGACTTACTACCGACCGCGTCAGGGCTATCCGACCATTCGCTGGAGTCGGAACCGATTTTGCTGGCCCCTTCCTCGTCAAGTCCTCCAACCTTCGTAACGCTCGGTTCACATAAGGCCTATCTGTGCGTTTTTGTGTGCCTCGCCACTAAGGCCGTTCACTTAGAACATGTAAGTATCCTCAGCACTGAAGCCTTTGTGGCACGCTGGGCCGCTTCGTATCGGTCGCGGTTTGCCGAACCTGATCCGGTCTGATTGCGGAACGAATTCTAAGGGCACGGATAGGCATTTGAAAGAGGTCGTCGAATTTCTGTCCAGCAACAGGACTTATTTAGATACTGCGATGTTGAAGAAGGGTATTCAGTGGAAATTCGACCCTCCGGCTTCCCCACACTGGGGCGGTATTTTTGAGGCGGTGGTTAAGGTTGCAAAAACGCATCTCCGTCGCGTTATTGGTGAAACTGTTTTGACATTTGAGGAGCTTGCCACTGTATTCTGTAAAATTGAGGCGATCCTCAACTCTCGGCCCCTCTGTCCCCTCTTGTCCGATCCGAATGATTTGGAGGTTCTAACCCCGGGCCACTTCCTGATTGGCCAGCCGCTTAACGCCCTGCTCGATTACTCCTTCAGGGAAATAAACTCTTCGCGGTTGAGCAGATTTGACCTGTTGCAACAAATGACTCAGAGTTTTTGGCACGGATGGTCTCTGGAGTATCTACATCTTTTGCAGCAGCGCGTTAAGTGGTCTGACAATACGGACCCTCGGGTTGGAGACCTCGTTTTAGTTAAGTAACCCAACGCTTTGCCTTTGTATTGGCGCCATGGGCGCATTGTTAAGTTGTCGTATGGACCGGATGGGGTGCCTAGGTTGGCCGAGGTTTTGGTTAGAGATTCGGTCTTGCAACGTACCGTCGCGACCCAATCCCGTTTGCCAATTTACTCGCGGACATAAGTCCTTATGCCCGGGATGGGGGTTTGTTTATGCCAAATCGTAACAACTTAAAACTCTCGGGCGATAAACCTGTTTGACAGTTTGGGCCAGCGGGCTGCGGCCGTGCCAATTAGTCTGGAACAATCAATAGTCCGCGATGGCCGTGTCGGTTAGATGTCGGGAAGTTACGTTAGAATCGTTAGGTCGCGTTAAGACTACCTCCTTTGAGTTGTCTTATTTCGTTCGTATACGTGACAACGAGGCTTTCCTTGAGGTTGAGTGATTAATTTAACTTCGATTACGAGTTTCTTGTGTGGTATTTTAATATCGTACGAAGGAATTTTTGCTTTGTCGGATGGAACGCTAAAACTTTGTGACCCGGGAGGAGTTCGCGTTCCTCTTAGATTATAGTTTTGTGCTATGTGACGTTAGACTTGAGTTCAGATAACGGTGAAAGCCCACTGAAGTGATTGAATCTTGTGGAGCAGGTTAATGCATCTGGGTCTGCTGGCCGATTACATCGGTGACGTCAGGTTACATTACACACATTCTTACACTACTCACACCTACCATTTACTTGCCCCTGACGGTACCTTGTGGTCGACCCTACCTTTGGAACTCGGTAAGTTTGTGTTTGCTTATCCAGCCATTTCATAATAATTATCCATAGGCCATTTGGGCTCGAACCCTCTGGTTGCCCGTCAAGTTGGATTACTGATGGGCCATAGCCCAGTCGACTTCTGTCAGGGCAACTGAGGACCGTAACAATAGGACTATGTAAAACAGTACAGCTTTTCGACAAACTTTTATTTCAATATGTAGCTACGTTTTTATTTCTAAAAATTAATTAATGCCTTCCAAAGCAGACATTTTTCATCTTAACGTTTTTTTAAGCTACCATAACTTATAAGGCGATTGTACTTTCATTAACATTACGTGGTAGAGCCATTTTGTAGCAATATAATGGTTGTAGCACTACTAGATCGGCTGGGGCAGGACTACGCTCTCACAGAACACCAGCGTAAAATAGCAGTTCAATAATGCTGTGTTTTATAAAGTGAGTAAGCGTAAGTGCAAAGGACCCGATACCCTTTTTACTGGATACGAGACATTCCATCTTAGCCCTCAAGAATAACGACGCATCTGCATTTTGATCACTAATCGAGGATAATATAGATGTTTAACGGACTCTCTTACGGACGGAATGATTAACGGACTTGGCTGTGGTGAAGAAGGCAACGAATCTAATAAGAACTACTCCAATGAAGAAATCTAAACTTGACTTGATTGGTAACGGGAAGTAGCATTACTAGTGCGAGTTTATAAACGCTGTTAATTTATGTTAAATAGAAATTATACTTGTCAATCAAAATGGTACGAGTCGATACACTGAGTACACAATTTTTAGAATTAATGAATTAATTATTTATTAATCACGTGTTATTTAACAATAATTGGCCAAATTTGCAGGGAAAGTTCCGGATAAGTAATATGGGCAAATGATGAAGAAAAATGAATTAAGAAATCTCAAACATTCTGTCCTTTTTACTTTTAATAAAAAATGCTTCTTAATGTATTATTTTTACTGATTTTTAAAAATAATACATTATACATATTTGTAAGGGTCGTTCTGTAGGCAAAACGTTATTGCCCGTAAATCACATTCAATTTAGGATAATTTCAAATAAAATAGAAGTCTTATTTACTCGAAATTTCAAAAATTGCAATTACGGTATATCATTATATTTGAACCTAAGTTAAAAATTTGGCAACTCTTTGAAAAATATTCTGTATAACACACCGTACTAATGACTGTCGGTACATCGAAGTAGAAAGTGTTTGTACAGTAGGGCTACGATGGCTATCCGAGTACAGAACCAGAGGTCGAAACCTATCCAACTACAGAGAGGTGTAAGACTGGGTGACGTTATATCCCCGAAATTCTTCTCCGCTGTATTTGAAGTCTTTTTCAAGCTACTGGACTGGAAAGGATACGGTATTAACATCAATGGCGAGTACGTCACTCACCTTCGATTTGCCGACGATATAGTCCTTATGGAAGAATCGCTGGACGACCTAAGCACTACGCTCAATGACCTCAATGGTGTATCCCAACGGATAGGTCTTAAGATGAAAATGGACAAAACAAAGATCATATTTAATGTCCATGTCGCACCTATGCCGATAATTGTTGGAAGCACTATGCTCGAAGTACGTTTACCTGTGACAAATAGACGAACTGGGTAAGTCCAACTTCGACCGACAGGTCAATCGTCGGATTTAACTCGGCTGGTAGCGTTCGGGAAATTACGACACATTTTCTCGTCACGTATACTTCATACTCTGAAAACTAGATTGTACAACCAGTGCGTGTTGCCAGTAATGACTTACGGATCTGAGGCGTGGTCTTTCACTGCTGTCCGTATGTGGCCGCTCAAGGTCACTCAATGACCTATGGAGAGGGCTATTGATATGTATTGCGGGTCCGCTGCACAGCGAGTAATAAACTAGCCTCGCTACTAAACGGTTGTTCCTTTGTTCAATACATCTCACTGGCGACGAGTTTTGTACATACCTACGCGTAAAAATAAAATAAAGAAATATATGTCGTATTTAGGTAATTTGCCTGTTTTCGATCACAAAACAAGTGAATGGTCAATATTTTATGGGAAATTAACACAGTTCCTATATATTAGCTAAAGTCTATATTCCAAGGATAAATAATGTGACAAAAGAAGAAATTAAGAGTGGTATCCTGCTTACTCATCTCACCGATGAAACCTACCGCTTAGTACGTTACTTAGCGTACCCTAAAACGGTGGAATCGTTAACTTACTACGAGCTAGTTCAAATACTCAACAGCCATTTCAAACCAAAGCAGTGCTCCTTCGTAGATAAGGCCACCTTTTTTGGAGCGACTAGAAGTCCAGGAGAATCACTAGGAGACTGGGCGGCGCGATTAAGAGGGCTAGCAAGCTATTGCGAATTCGGCGACGCCCTGGAAACGAATCTGAAAGATCGTTTTGTCCTAGGCCTGGGCTCTGGCCCGGAACGCGACAAGCTGTTCGAGCAGAACCCGACAACACTTACGCTAACTAAGGCGATTGAAATAGGGGAACAAGCTGCTTGCGCAAGAGAGGTAAGGGTGATGCTGAATACGAGCGATTTTGGGCTCATCAAGGAAGAGCCTGTGTATCGTGCAAAAATTCACCAGTTCGCTCGGGGAAGCGGAGGTGACGGTACGGTACGGTAGTGGCAATGACAATGTCGGCTCTAGGACACCGCGACGCGAAACTGGCTCCTGTTCAGTTTGTGGTATGAAAAATCATTACGGTGATAAATGCCGGTACAAAAGCTATAAGTGTCAAAAGTGCCGTATAAAAGGGCATTTAAAGAAAGTTTGTGCTAAAAATAAAAATAACTCGTGTGCTTATCACATTCAATCAGAACAAGAATTCGGCGCTAATGAGGTCAAGGACACAAGTTGCGTAGAATGCCAGAACTTTAACTTAAGGTTCGTTGATGATAAACCAATTGAAATAAATTTAATTTTGGGCAATAACAACTTAACAATGGAACTAGATTCAGGCTCGAGCAGCTGTGTAATTTCTGAAAAATTGTATGCTGAAAAGTTTTCCGATTATCATTTAAATAACAGCAATATAAAAATGTGTCTATTTAGACATAAAACAGGGCATAAAATCTCTCCACTTGGATATTTCTGGGTTGAAGCTTGTTATAATAAAGTTAAACACAAAATAAAAATTTATGTTGTTAAAAATGGGGGCCCTCCCCTGCTGGGTAGAGATTTTATGTCCGCGTTTAATTTAATTATAACAACTAACATAATGTCTATGTGTATCGATAAGAATGTAAACAATGTATTGCAAAAGTTCCCTAATTTGTGGCAGGATGAGTTAGGTTCGTTCAATAAATTTAAAGTATGTTTACGTTTATAGGAAAATGCAAAACCTAAGTTTTTCAAGCCACGAATCGTACCCTTTACCCTTAGGGATAAAGTCGAAGAAGAGTTGAACCGTTTAGTAACCTTAGGTATTTTAGTTCCAATTGACCAATCAGAGTATGCCACGCCTATTGTACCTGTTTTGAAGGAAAACAATAAAATAAAAATAGCAGGAGATTTCTCGGTCACGCTGGATAAAGATCTTTTGATTGAAAGATACCCCTTACCTCGAATCGAAGAAGTATTTGCTAAAATTGGGGGTGGCGAACGATACAGTAAAATTGATCTTAAGAATGCTTTTAATCAATTTGTTTTAGATGAGCCATCCCAATTACTTACAACAATAAATACCCATAAAGGGTTATTTAAATATACAAGATTAGTGTATGGCTTATCTAATGCACCTGCAATCTTTCAAAAGGCTATGGAGACACTTCTCTCTGGCATAGATGGAGTCAGCGTATGGCTCGATGATATATGTATAACTGGCCCCAATAGTGATTCCCACATTAAAAGATTAGAAGAAGTATTAAGTCGGTTAAGTGACGCCGGTGCGACTACAGAGAGACAAGTTTGATTTCTTTAAGGATAGTGTAAAATATTTAGGCTATGTCATAGATAAAAACGGCTTATAGACTGACTCGGAAAAAAGTTCACGCTATCATTAATGCGCCCGAGCCGACTAACGTAAACGAAGTTAAGAGATTTTTAGGCATGGTCAATTATTATAGGAATTTTATACCAAATGCTTCTTCACTACTCCATCCTCTTCACGAGCTATTGCGTCACGATACGCCATGGGAGTGGGGCGAGCGTCAGAGGCGTAGCATGGCGGCAGTGCGCCGCGAGCTGGCGTCCGAGCGCGTGCTAGTGCACTTCGAGCCCACAGCACAACTCGTACTGTGAGTGGACGCCGGACCCGGGGGGCCTAGGCGCCGTTCTATCACAATGATCGGACGACGGTCACGAACGCCCCCTCGCATTTGCGTCTCGTTCACTCACCACCAGTGAACGTAACTACAGCTAAATTCAGAAAGAGGCAACTGCCATTATATTCGGGGTGAAAAAATTTCATCAATTTTTGTATGGTCGAAGCGATCCGTTTATTCTTAAAACCGACCATAGGCCTCTAATTTCTATCTTCGATACCAAAACAAGCATACCGATTACAACAGCGCTGAGATTACAGCGATATGCTATAATATTATCGGCCTATAATTACACTGTCCAGTATGTGTCGAGCGATAAAAACGTAGTTGCAGATTATTTTTCTCGCTCACCCTTAACGTGTAGAAACGCAAACGGTTGGCCACGTAAAATAAGCTGTCGAACAATACTTCCTTATTTTCAATGTAAGTCCGACTTACAGTTCGAACAAGGGTGCTTATTTAGGGGACATAGAATAGTAATTCCGTCAAAGTTTAGGGAATACATGCTAAAAGAACTACACGACACATATCTAGGAATAATGAAAACAAAAAGTAACGCACGAAGTAGGATGTGGTGGCCGGGTATTGACCGCGACATTGAACGTTGGATCGGGTCCTGCAAAACATGCGTGAGCTTACGTCGCGCCCCGCCGCGCGATCCGCCGGCACCGTGGCCCGCCAGCATGGCAGCGCGTACATATCGACTACATGACCGTGGGACAGAGGGTTATACCTCGTGGTAGTTGATTCGTTTAGTAAATGGCTGGAATGTATATACATGAACAGTGGAATGTCGTCACAATCGCTTATTACAAAATTAAAAAATATTTTCTCTACCTTCGGTATACCCAATGTTTTAGTTACTGATAACGATGTTAAAATAAACTCTAATGAATTTAAGACCTTCTGCTCTAACAATGGCATTAAGTACTTAACTTCCCCCATATATCATCCACCAAGTAATGGACAAGCAGAGAATTCGGTTAGGACTTGTAAAAAGATGCTAAAATGTATTTTAAAAGATAACCTACCACAGCACCAAATTAATGTAGTATTATTGGGATATTTATTTAACTACAGGAACACGGTACACTGTACAACCGGCGAAACGCCGGCTAAATTAATGTTTGATAGAAATCTACGATCTCGTCTCGACCTAATTATACCCATAGAAAAAACACAATTAAATATGCCTTTAGTAACCAGTAGGAGATTTTTTGAATTAGATGATAAAGTTTGAGCTCAGTGGTACAGTGCCCGGAAAGAAACTTGGGAGTTAGGTACAATTAAAGAGAGGGTCGGTAGTAAAATGTACAAAATATTTATTATAAAATATGAAGCAACATGCATTAGACATATAGATCAGCTGTTAAAATTTACGGACAACGATAATTCATTAAAAATTAATAACACTGATAATGTTGAGAGTCGCAATTTTCAGTCGTTACCCTTGTAGCCGTGTAGTGGCGGTTGAGAATATCCACTACCCCATATCTTCCTGTGAGTGTCGTAAGAGGCGACAGAGGGACACAGAAAGGAGATGGGCAGCAACATCTTCCTAATAACAACTATGACAATAAAAAACTGCGGTTGCCAACCCGCTTGCCAAGCGTGGCAACTATGGCAAATATCCCCCCATGAGCAACGACGCAAATAAACGGCCCCCAGTCCCCGGCGGCCCCGCTATTCCTGGCTACGGTGGCGACCATGGTAACGGCGGGGCAGGGGGTGCTAGGAATCTCCGGTGGAGGTTCGGTTGCCACCTACGACGACTCGACCTGGCAACGTATAACGCACGCACCCCGAGGACTGACGAAAAGATAATGGAGCAAGAAGAAGAGGTAGACAAGTTGCGCTGGCATATTATTGGATTATCTGAGGTCCAAAGAGAGGGGGAGTACACGGTAATCCTCGAGTCCGGCAACTTGTTCTATCACTGGGAGGGCGATCATCTGTCCCAAGGAGGTGTCGGATTTATCGTCCACAAGTCTCTCGTCAACAACGTTGTAAAGATTGGGAGTGTATCGACGAGGGTCGCGTACCTGATACTCAGAATCACCAAACGGTATTCGCTGAAGGTCATACAGGTCTACGCACCAACCTCGGCACATCCCAGTGAGGAGGTGGAGGAAATGTATGAGGATATTTCTAAAGCCATGCATTCCTTCAAAAACAAGGTGTTGATGGGAGACTTCATCGCAAAACTAGGCACAAGAGAAGGCGGGGAGCTGAAGTTAGGGAATTTTGGAGTAGGGTAACGGAACCGTAGGGGCCAGCAGCTGGCTGTCTTTATGGAGAAAGAGGGACTCTTTATGATGAACTCTTTCTTCCAGAAGCGGCCCCACAGGAAGTGGACCTGGTCGAGCCCTGACGGTTCGACAAAAAATGAGATTGACTTCATTATGACGACGAGACGCCAACTGTTCAGTGATGTCTCAGTGATCGCAAGGGTGAAAACCGGCAGCGATCACCGAATGGTTAGAGGCACACTGAACCTAAACGTTAAGTTGGAGAGGTCTCGTCTAATGAAGTCAACGCTCCGTCCCCCTCGTGCTCTAATCCATAATCCCGAATCTTTTCAGCTCGAGTTACGTAACTGCTTTCAGTGCCTAGAAGATTGCAATCTAGTCGACGATATGAATGCCAAGCTCGTGGAGACTGCCCATGCGGTCAGAGCTAAGTTCTGCAAGACCCGCCGCAGAAGGACACAAAAACTCTCCGATCACACTCTTAATCTCATGGCTGTTAGACGGGAGATGAGGCTGCAATCGTCAACAGATTTGACAGCATACAGGCAACTGAACAGACAGATCTCCATATGCATGCGGCGAGACTTACGCAACTTTAATACTGCTCGTATTAAAGAAGCGATCGAGCGGAACCAGGGCTCCAAAGTCTTTGACAGAGATCTGTCTGCCAGAAAGAGCCAACTGTCAAAGCTGAAGACTGAGTGTGGCAGCATCGTTTCCGAGACACCTGAGATTTTGAGTGAGATTGAGAGGTTCTGTGGGCAGCTGTACACATCATCGTTGGAGCCACACGAAAGTGTGAGTAACGATCCAAGAGCAAGTCTTACCCGACACTATTCCGATGATATCCCGGACGTCAGTCTGAGCGAGATTAGAATGGCTCTCCAGCACATTAATAACGGCAGGTCCCCAGGCGAGGATGGAATTACAGCGGAGCTTCTGAAAGCGGGTGGAACACCGGTACTTTTAGTCCTTCAGAAGCTCTTCAATTCCGTCCTCCATGGTGGCACTACTTCGGAGGCGTGGAGCAGAAGTGCGGTGGCTTTGTTCTTTAAGAAAGGCGACAACGCTCTCTTGAAGAACTACAGACCGATTTACCTTCTGAGCCGCGTCTACGTGCTGTTTTTGAGAGTCATTACGAATCGTCTCGCACGCAGACTCGACGACTTCCAGCCTCCCGAACAAGTCGGTTTCCGAAAAGGATTCAGTACCATAGACCACATACATACCCTGCGGCAGATTGTACAGAAGACCGAGGAGTACAATCTGCCACTTTTCCTGGCGTATGTGGACTATGAGAAAGCCTTTGATTCCGTCGAAATTTGGGCGGTGCTACAGTCCCTTCAGCGGTGCCAAGTTGACTGTCGGTATATCAAAGTGCTGAAGTGTTTGTACAGTAGGGCCCCGATGGCTATCCGAGTAAGATGCAGGTGGCTCAGGACCGTGCTTTGTGGTGTTGCTTGGGGGAGGCCTATGTTCAGCGGTGGATTTGTGAAGGGCTGTAATGATGATGATGATGATAATGACCCTTGTCACCGTCTATGCCCGTTAATGCTCCTTTATCCGAACCTTCTGTAGGCAATCCTCGGTCATCGACCATGTAGAGCAACCCGTTAATACTGACGCAATAGACCATGATAATGGGGAAGAATGGGGTGATTATTCGGCACAGGACAGCGTGGGAGACTCAACAGAGATTCCGGAAGCGTCAGATTCGCCTGAAGCTTCCGAAAACGGAGTCGAACAGCCTCAGAGCGATTCTGTCCGCTCCAATGACGTACCACCAGCGCAGGCACCGACACCCGCTCGTCAACTGCGCCCCCGGAAGAGGATAGATTATAAGAAATATTTTAAATGATTCATTGTGTTATTAAATTTAGTTGTATGTGTGTTGTGGTGTGGTGTGGTATTATTTAATTTATTAAATGTTGTACATCTGTTAAGTCATAAGTATCTTAAATATTGTTTTATTTAAAACTTTATGTATTATATATTTAATAGAAATTTAAGTATTAACTGATCACTGTAAATCAAAAATTAAGTGTAGAGGAATGATATGTATTGCGGGTCCGCAGCACAGCGAGTAATAAACTAGCCTCGCTACTAAACGGTTGTTTCCTGTGTTCGATACATCTCAACTATACTCGAGGTTTCTCTGCGTGATAAACTCAGAAATATCCGCAATAGAACCAAGGTGGCCGACATAGACCAACGGATTAGTAAGCTGAAATGGCAATTGGCCGGCCATATAGCTCGAAGAACCGATAACCCATGGGGAAAAAAGGTTCTCGAGTGGCAACCTTGTACTGGTAAGCGTAGTGTTGGGCGACCCCCCACTAGATGGATGTGTTTCATTACTTGGGGGAGGCCTATTTTCAGCAGTAAACTTGTGAAGGGCTGTAATGATGATGATGAACAAACTAATAGTTAGTTATAAAACTTTTTTAACATGGCATCTTCTGTTTAATGAAATCGATTGAATAATGACATCGGATTTGTGTGACTTAGCAGTTGGTGAAATGTTATTATTAATAAGTGGTAGAGCTACGCTGTAGCTACATTATGCTTCAATCATGAATAGGTCAGCTCAACCGAGGAAGAACCACGCTCTCACAGAATACTTGCGTAAAATGTCAGTTTAATGCTATTGTGTTTCGTATGTTGAACAGCATATACTACAAAAGATCCTTTTTAATGTTAAATAGACATTCTATTTTAGTTCTCAGTGGTGATACTGCATTTACTCCTTGATATTTAATCGAGGACATATGTAATAGTCTATGAACCACAACATCAAGTACACTGTGTGCTTGTTGGCCACCCTTACACTATAATGATGAGACTGTAACGGCGAAGGACGTTAAGAAAGTTAGAGCACGTGCTATAAATGTGTAAATTAACTCACAAAGCTAAAAAAGCGTATTCTACGATAAACATAAAACGTCGACAAGTGGCTCTTCTCACGAGTTTACCAAGTTTTCTGTGAACACTAGCGTAATGTTAGGTTGCGTATAGTGAATGCATAAAACTGGAGACGCTTTTTATTGGTAATAAGGCATTCTTACTTAGAGGTAATAACGCTTCTAAATTTTATTTACTACAACATTCACTTACCACCAAAGGGAATGTGTGCTCATTTGTCACGCTTAAAGTTAAAAGTTAAAGTTACAGCCTATTAAAGTCCACTGTTGAACATAGGCCTCCTCTCATTTCTGAGAGGGTTTTAGGGCTAGGAAATGTCCGCCGCGCTGCCTCAATGCGTGTTGGCGAACTTCACATACCTTCGAAATTTTCTCAGACATGCAGGTTTCCTCACGATGTTTTTCTTCACCGCCGAGCACGTGGTAAATCAGCACTTAAAATTGCAATTAACAATTTAATTGGTGCCGGCGGGGATCGAACCTGGGTCGCGTACTGTGAAATTTACAGCTTGCGCTAACCATCTGAGCTACCACGGATTTTGTCACGCTTATTCAATAAATAATTTATTCTTCGATTTAAGTAAACAGATTATGTTTGGCACAATTATCTTAGCAAATATTTATACATTTAATATCTTTTTAAATTAATTTATAGTCATACTCAACTCTTCACGATTACCGCGAGACTTGAATACGGCATAAGTATAGTTTTAAAATTCCAACTATAGCTATTATTTTCGAATAAACACGCTGTTTTGACTTTCAGGTCTTTTCCTGTTCTTATAACGTTTGACACTGCGTTACTCTCCAGACATTCTGTGAAATTTTATTTTAGCCAGCCTATCAAAGTCCAATACGGTGAACATGGACATCCTCCATATATCGCCTCACAGGGGAGATATTTCCCATAGTTGCCAAGTTTGTAAGTTGGCAACCGCAGTTTTTCATTTATACACCTAATGGAATTCCAGTAACTTACTGAGCTAAACATGTTTTCATTTTTTTTTTACTATTTCACTTTTAGAGTATTAAAAATACACATATATCGAGAAAAAATCATCATTTAGTGTAAAGAAAAAACTGTTGAAAAAAATTCGAGGGTGTCCGGATTTATATATGTGTGGATGGCGCACGATTACGGTCGTTAGAAATAATGTATCAAAATATTTTTTTATTATGTTCGGAATCTCAACGCACAGGTTGCTTTTTAAAATCACTGAGTAATTTGGTCTCGCCTAAATGTACCCAACCGCAGCACGTAAAACTATTAAAACTTATATTTAGAGACTACTTTTCCATGAAGAAGTTTGGCATTATAAAATCTATACAAAATTCTCTAAATAAAAGTCACGCTTTACTTCATTACAAAAATACTATTTTATTTTGATAACAAAAACAAAACATACAAAGCAAATGGCGGCAGCGTGAAAATCACAATTATTTCAATATATATTGCTGAAATTATTTACGTAAAATATTAAACTATATTCACACAAAAACTTTCGTTACAATTTTATAATAAAACACTATAATTGAAAAATCCAAAAATCAACACGCGAAAGTGGCGTACGAAATAAACGTAGATTATAAATAAATATCCATAGGATAAATTTACTTTTTATTACACTAGAGGATAGAAAATTTCATATCAATCCTATAGTGCCAATCTTCTTCATAGAAAAGTGGTCCCTAAATATAATACCGCCCGGGAATTGCCAGGCGCATGCGACTGCATGGGATTTTTATTTGGATTAAGGGGTTTAATGCAACCATGAATCTCGCCATGCTTAGACACAGATAAGTTATATATGCACGAAATAATTAAGTAATTTTGGCGCAAAACGGACATCAACAATTCGGGCCAGCGTGACAATTCAATTTATGGTGGTATCAAGTAATAAATTCAAAATATGAGCCTTACGCGGCAAAACTCAAAAGTTTAAGCTCAAAAGTTTAGGGATTTTGGATTAGAGCACGAAAGGGACGGAGCGTTGACTTTTCATTAGACGAGATCTCTCCAACTTAACGTTTAGATTCAGTGTGCCTCTAACCATTCAGTGATTTCTGCCAGTTTTCACCCTTGCGGTCACTGAGACATCACTGAACAGTTGCCGTCTAGTCGTCATAATGAAATCAACTCATTTTTTGTCGATCCGTCGGGCCTCAACGAAGTCCACTTCCTGTGGGGCCACGTCTGAAAGAAAGAGTTCATCCATAAAGAGTCCCTCTTTCTCCATGAAGTCGGCCAGCTGCTAACCCTTGGGTTCCGTTGCCCTATCCCAAATCTCCATACCTGCAGCTCACTGTTCTTTCTTGTGCCTATTTTTGCGTAGAGGTCTCCCTCCAACACCGTATAATGAGTTTTAGAGGAATGGCTCTAAAAATATCCTCATACGTTTCCTCCACCTCCTCATCGGGATGTTCCGACGTTGGTACGTAAACCTGTATGATCTTCAGCGAATACCGTTTGGTGATTCTGAGTATAAGTACGCACCCTCGTCGACACACTCCCAATCTTTACAACGTTGTTAACAAGATACTTGTGAACGATAAATCGAACACCTCTTTTGGACAGATGTTCGCCCTCTTGGTGTCCTCACCCTCTATTCGGACCTCAGATAATCCTATAACATTCAAGCGCAACTCGTCTATCTCTTCTTCCAGCTTCACGATCTTTTAGTCAGTCCTCAGGGTGCGTGCGTTATATATTGCCATGTCGAGTCGTCGTAGGTGGTGTGACGGCCCAATATTATTATTAATAATTAAATTCAATATAAAGGGGCGTCAAAAATAGTCTTAAAAGATATATATTAAACAATAAAATTACTTTAATAACCATAAAGATAATATTTCAGAAATTAGACATAGTAAATTAAAGGCAAAATATTGTCTTCCATAATAAATAAATTTATTAAAAACTTGAAAAAATATTTAAAATAAGATAAATACAAGTCGAAAATATTATAAAAATAAAGATAAATTACATTTATAAGATAATTAGAAAATTTGTTAAAAATTGTCTAAGTCTTGGAAGGAGTTCATGTATAAAAGAAAATTTTCCTAAGTTATGGAAGGTGTTCATGTATAGATGTCTTGTATGGAGGAGCTGTCGTAGATACATACCTGCAGTTGTACATATATATGGGGTGGTCGGGAGCCCGACTGCCTGAAGTACTGTAGCACAATGACAAGTCCTATATTAGGGACTTATGATAATAAACTCAATGATACAAAAGCAATACTATAGAAGGTCTCTATGATGAATATGCATTACAATAGTAGGGTTGTGGGTTCGCACCCTATATATTAATGACTTATGAAAGTAAGGTCTATGATACAAAATCAATACTATAGAAGGTCTCTATGATGAATATGCATTACAATAGTAGGGTTGTGGGTTCGAACCCTATATATGAATGACTAATGGAAGTAAGGTCTATGATACAAAAGCATTATTATTGAAGGTCTCCTTGATGCATAAGCATCGTATGGGGTGGTCGGGTGACCGACTGCTCCTAGTACTGTAGCAAAATGACTAGTCCTTATTAGGGACTTGAAAAGGAATATTATGGTGGCGTGTGTGCTGCTTCACGAGCAATTGGTCCGAGGTAAACTTGGACTCGCTAACCGATGTGTCCTAGACATGTCATCTTAGTGCCGGTGGTAAGCGGGTTTGTTGTAGCAATACGACTTTCGCGTGGACATCGCACACCCATACCGTTTGTGGGCGACGTCGTAGCGCATAGCGATGCGTTGTCTATCTTTCGGATTGGGATGATGAGTGTGTTTGGTAGCACTTTTAAGTGTAACAGGCATACTCAACTTCATGTCTTAGTGCATTAGCGCTATGATACGTGGAGTTTTGTTCATTGGCGTCTTAGTAGCGTGCTACTACGTTACGTTGGTGATATTTTTTATATAACAACAATAAAAACTT